GCCGTTTATGCCAATGTGCAATCCCAATTCAAGCATCTCTGGTATCTCCTTGGCATCGCCTGTGAACGAATGTACCTAAGTGGTAACGAGACAATGAATGAGAGAAGGAGAGAGAGAGAGGGAGGGAGGGAGAGAGAGAGACAGAGAGAGAGAGAGGAGAGAGAGAGAGAGAGAGAGAGAGAGAGAGAGAGAGAGAGAGAGAGAGAGAGAGAGAGAGAGAGAGAGGAGAGAGAGAGAGAGAGAGAGAGAGAGAGAGAGAGAGAGAGAGAGAGAGAGAGAGAGAGAGGGGGGGGGGGGGCAAAAAGAGAAAGAGACACAAACGCACAAACAGAGCCACACATCAAAATCCGACCAGGCCAGCTTGCTTCAGCCATTGTGAAACACAGCCACTGTGAAACACAGCCATTGTTAAACACAGCCATCGGGCTGCCACCTTGGGGCCCGGAGTAGGTGGTAGTCGGGCTGCTACCTCAGGCTTGAACACTAACCATGTCATGAGTTCTTTATGGGGTATTCACACGACAGGCACTTGCACATTTTACAGGGAGTGACATACGAGAAAAGTGACTGTGTGGATTAGTGTTGAAACGAGCGTATCTATAACAAACGAGCGATCAGTTCCACTAACGAGCAAGCTATCGAGCGAGCTAACGAGTTTCATTGATGTGGCAAATATGATTATTTTTTTGAATAATTTTTTTCTAAGTTCGATTTTTTTCAGCTGGTTCAAATTATCACCGCCGGCATTTGGGGTTGCTGCTGCTTCACCTCGGACTGCTGTTTGGTGTCGAGATGTCTTTTCAGCGCCGTCGTCGATTAGCCTTTGTAAGAATAGACCGTTTTGCAAAGATTGCAAGTAGCCCTGGTCTTCGCTGCATCGCGGGAGAACACTTCCAAACGACTGAGCGTAGCTTTCACTCGAATGGAGAGGTGACCGAAGCATATCCTGCGACAGGTCAGCAGATGCAGAACAAGACATCAGTAGAGTCCACCAAAGCTGCAACGACAACTGAAACAACTCAAGTGTCGTGCAGGCATACAGTCACCTGTAACTGCGAGTGATTTTCACTTTGCGCGGGACTGGACTCTCGATCGACCAGGGAGTCGTAAAATATTCTACGACTCCCCGGTCGACATGTACTGCCATGTGTACGGAGTACGGTGTACGGTGTTCGTTAGTGCAAACGAGCTGGCCGCACAAACGAGCCGAGTTTCTGGTGAGCGAGCTAGCGAGTATCCGGTGAGATCGTTTCAACACTAGTGTGGATTCACACAGCTGCACTTGACGACAGGCACGTTTGCATTTTTGAATGCTTCACCGACCAGTAGCCATGGACATTTCAAATTTTCAAAACACGCATACAATGATTATCATGCTCTAAAGAGCCGCGTAAAAAATCAAGTCTTGTTTCGCGCTTTTTGGTGTAAATGTACTCATGCACGCCACGATTATCGTGAAAGTGGGCCCCCAGCTCGCTTGCACTTTTCAGCCACTTTTCTCGTTCACAGGTAAAATACCATAGCAACTTTCAGGTACACGTGGATTTGCCTGTCCTGTGAATACCCCATTACTTCTTTGTACGTGTTGCAAATAATGTTACTCAATTTGAGAGCTGGTTGGTATGGCAACGGAACTCACCACTCCACCCTTGTAACGGCCATGATATCTACGCATCAGACCTGCATACAGACACGCAGATACACACACACACACGCACACACACACACACACACACACATACAGACGTATGTACATACCGTATTTCCTCGATTAATAGACCCGGTCTTTTGTTTTTGGAAGAGGGTCTCTTATTTGGGCATGGTCCATTATTTGAGCACGGTCCACTATATATTCATCGGCACATCGCTGGAAATGGTGGATTTTTAACACGTCGTAATATAGAAGTTCTATATTATGACGTGTTAACCCTTTATGTACTGAAAAAATGTACACAGACTGAATTTGATCTCGGCTCACCTCAAATTCCATAATTCTCCGGGTCATAACTTTAGTCTCCTTTTGACGATTTTTTCAATCTTGGGCTTCCTGGAAAGCTCGTCGCAAGAGGAACACATTGAGCCCACACTCGTCAACACGAAGGTCAAAACGCCAGCGCTACTGCCCAACGTCTTAGCTGCAACGCCAATATTCCGACAGAAGTCGTCTTGTATCAGCCATTTCGCTCTCCTTGCTTGTATCAACTGTTACTTCAAAAAAATTCACAAACTGCCACGTGTCCGTTTACCATTTTGAACGTGTTTCGACGTCACTGCATGCCCAGAATGATGGGGAAATCCCTCATTCAAATCTGCGCCCGCGCCTATTGAGCAACATTTGCCGTGATTCGACTTTAGAGCTTCGTAACTCTGGAACCGCACATCGGAGCGCTTCAGCGATTGTACCAATGCACAGCTGGGAGCTTTCTCTTCGACCTACATATTTTAGTTTTTGGAAATAACCCAGGAATGACTGAGTTACGATCGATTGAAATTTTGAAAAGTTTCGATCCCAGGGGATCGAAAGTTGTACAGTCCGTACACAAAGGGTTAAAAATCCACCATTTCCAGCGATGTGCCGATGAAAATATAGTGGACCGTGCTCAAATAATGAAAAAAAGCACTAGCCACTACAAAAATTGTAGTTGCGCAACCTAAAATCACGTCCTTTTTGATCCACCACGTGCTTTCTTAGTGCGCATGCGCAAAGCGATGAACTCAAATAAGATACCGGGTATCTTATTCGGGCATGGTCTAATATTTTTCCGTGAGGCCTCTAGGAGGGTCTACTATTCGAGCATGGTCTATTATTCGAGGAAATACCGTACATACGTACAGACATATACAGGGGGAAACGGTTTGGAAGGTAGCGGGGATTTGGTCGGAGGTCTATAAAATCAGAAAGCAAAACGTTACATTATAGCTGAAAATACAGATAAACCAAAAATCGATTCTACTTCCTCCTGTGCGCGTACTGTATAACATTAGGTGTCAGGGACCTGCCAGGCTTCAGGTGTTCTGTAGAACTAGGTAACCAGTGTCCCGTGCACATACCGTAAAGTCTTGTATAAAAGCCGCACTTGAATAGAAGCCGTCCTCGAATAGAAGCCGCAATTTGGGGCCCATCAAATCACACATAAGCCTGGTTTTAGTGTTGACATACATAGAAATACCGGTCTTGTATAGAAGCATATCTCATATAGAAGCCTGCAAAATTTCACCAAGAAAGTCATAGAAGCCGCGGCTTTTATACAAGACTTTACGGTATAGTGCATACTCCAGTGCCATATAGGTGTAAAGTGTAATCTCGATTTAGGTACATGCACCTGGTTTCTCTACAAATACGCAAATTTAACCCTTTGGAGCCCGTACAGTCAAATATCGACGGTATACCGTCGATGGACTAAAACGTTCGTAACTCACTCAAAACTTGACGGATTTCCGCGATCGAAATATCTGGGAAGAAGCCGACGAGCTCAGCTTTCTAATGCAACAATCGCCGAAGAGCTACGATGTCGCGTTGCAGAGATATCGCGCTCGACATTTCAGTCACGGCAAAAGTTGAACTTTTTCGCAGTGACTGGCCTTGAGTGAGGAATTTCCCATTGGATGACATGCTGATTCATCCAGGCATGCTTCCTGCACGTGGCCAGCATAAAACTATACTCAGCGCAAAAAAATAAGCATTCCACGATGAATGAGAGTGAAATGGCTGGCGTTGAGGAAATTTGCTCGTATATCCAGCTCTGTGGACTGTTCGAGGCGCCGTGGCGTTGGATATGTGACTGCTGTGGTGTTGAATTTGAGCTCTAGTTACTCTGCTCGGGGAGAGCTTTCCAGGAAGCCCAAAATTATGGAAATCCTATAACGAGCACCAAAGTTATGCCCAAAATAAGGTAAAGAATATATCGTAATTGCAGTCGCATACAATTATCAGGATTTTCGGGGCTCGAAAGGATTTTAAAAGTGACAACGAAAATAATGTGCTATACAGCAGCAGGGTTCTAGCCATGTCAAGATAGTAGGGGGAGGGGGGGGGGGGGGAACAGTTACCCCGTAACCCATTTTTCCATTTTCAAAATAACTGTCTTGCAATGCAAAATGCAACGTACAGGGCGAACCCCCGACTTCACCCCAGACAAATGTGCCTTTATATACCTTCTAGTAGTGACCATCGACTGCATTTTCGTTGAATGGCATGAAGAAACAAAAAAAATCGGAAAATGAGTAGGGGACGGCACTTTTTTTACGGGGAGGGGGGGGGGGCGCAAACAGAGTAGGGGCCGCTGCGCTCCCCCTTTGGCTAGAACCCTGCAGTAGACAAAAAAGAGCTCAGCTGAAGAGGGTAGTTGACCTACCTACCTATAAAGTCTTCGTGGGCGTTGCGACTGTGCAGAAACAGCGGCAGACCGGTTGCTTCGGCCAGTTGAAACTGCAACTCAAAGTACCTACAAACCACACCAACACACACACACACACACACACACACACACACACACACACACACACACACATACACACACACACACACACACACATACACACACACACACACACACACACACATTCAATGTTACCAAGCGTAGAGTAGGGAACACCGGGCTAAGCTTGTATTGTCTAGCAGTTAGTATGAACAGATTCTTGGTTGGGAGGGAAACTAATTAGCACACGAAGCACAGAAAGCCATAATAAAAATAAATAATTATAGTTTCGACTAGGCCTTTAGTACTATTACTTTCAAGTTGAATATAGTTATTATGACTATATGCATTCAACTTTGGGTACTGTAAAGCGTGAAAATTTCGCGGCGTTTATAGTTCGCGTTTTCAGAATCCGGACAGGTTTGCGAGGTTTTAATTTTGCGATTGCAGAATTTGCTACTGTGGCATTCATGCTACACCTTCCACGGATCTCCTTTTCGCGCTGTCTAAATTTCGCGATTTCCACGCGGTCGCGAATTTCGCAGAAATTAGACCATGGTAATAATTTCACAGTTTACAGTACATGTAAAACAACAGTTTGAATAACGACAACTAACCAAATACCGGTATGGTGTTTGCTCCCAGGGGACCCAGATCACAGTGTTAACAAGGACACTATCAACACACGAGTGTCATGCCACAGTCACACACACACACAGTCACACACACACAGTCACACACACACCTTGTCATCTCAAGTCCCCGGTAGGAAACTATCCGATTTGAGCAAAGTCAAAGAGCATGTGGCTAAACTCGCTGCTCGCTATATACAATAGGTCTACAAATTTTCGGCACATTCAAATAGTCTCCCAGGGTTAAAAGTTAACCTAAAACCCATTTCGGCCACATCAAATTTTCGTCCTGTGCTGCTGCCGCCTCCATACATTGTCACGCTGAACCTTGTAAAACAAAATTTCGGCCAAACATGACCAGACTGAAAACAGCCGGAAATAAACATGCGCCGGATATCTGTTGACCTCACTCGTGAGGTCTGCATTCGCCACTAAGGTTAACAGGCATAGTGGTGGCCTGCGGATGCGAAGGCTAGTTTGTGTGTTTCTGAACGAACATTCAAGCGATGCCGACGCGGATCCCGCGAATATTATTATTATTTGTTGACTTACTGTACAGCACAGTCTATTCATCGGAAACAGTCCCGCTGCCTTTTGAAAGTCGGATTTGGGCCGAATTGAAGATCAAAAACCCACTTTAAATCTCAAAAATCTGGGTTTTGGATCTGCTTCTCCATACATTTTGCCATGGCATACCTGTCCTAATTTTGTAAAACCTGACTGAATTTCTATTTCCCTGTTCTTGGACTTTTCTGGCCTCAAGTGTGGCAAGGAGTAATTGCACGGGTCACACAATGCAGGATGCACTGTTGTTTTCACGATATCTACAACTATGTGTGGGAGACACCAAAAAGTTAGGGTGCCAGTTTCCAATGAATGGACTGTAAATGACATCTACTGGGCCAGCAAACAAGGACAGCTCGCGAATAACAACATGAAGTTGATGGCTGAAGGAATGTCGATATACAGGCAAACCAGCCATGGCGACCACTCAGGTATGGCGACCACCTGTCCCAGAGGACCGTTGAAAACAGGACCAAGGGGTGCTATTTCCAGAAAAATGACCCTGGACAAGGAGACCCCCTGGTAACAGAGACCACATTTTAAAGGTCCCTGACTGGTCGGTCGTCTTAGACAGGCTTCACTGTAAGCAAGGCTGACTGCATTGTTGGTGACGGGCATCCACGATGCATGCCTCCCATCGACCCATTGACCCACTGACCCATTGACACATTGACCCATTGACCCATTGACCCATGACCTATTGACCCATTGACCTATTGACCCATTGACTTTTCCCCAAACAAACCTCCTTACTTGAGCTGTGTTTCTTTGCCGCAAAAGTGAAGTCGATCGTAGTCTAGACACACAACCAAACACACACGCAAATGCATGTATGCACACACACACACGCACATGCATGTATGCATGCACGCACACACACACACGCACGAACATAACCAGATCATATACAGTTAGCGAGTGCGACATTTTTTCTCCTCCTTTTCTACCATAATTAAATCGGCTCACCATCCGAGTTCAATGTTCCTCTTAACCAGATTCGACTGCAACGGATTTAGAAGTCAGTTTTGCCCAAGACTAACACCATCCTACACATCGTAATCAGCAAGTGTGCTAAGGTTTTCAACTGCAAAACCCACAGCCCCACAGCCCCACGCACAGCATCTCACCTTCTCATCAACTTATCTCTTATTGGCGATGGTGCCATCGTGAGAATAAAGAATTCAAAGGTTCCCCCCGACTCACCGAGACCAAGCTCTCCCAGCGCCACTACCTTCTCCCCGCCATCTCTGATCAGTGCGCGCATGTCATCAAGATATTGCTGGGGGCTGCTGGCCTTGTCGAACTCTCCACACCGCGTCGGGTGACATCCCACTGTGCTGTACAGACGTTCTAGACGCAGCACGGTCGGACACGCAGTGCACATGCATGCACGTGGACACACACACACACATATACATGTGTGCACACACAAACGCACGAACACACACACACACACACACACACACACACACACACACACACACACACACACACACACAATTGAAAAGTGAAAAGTATCGATCACAGGGGATCGAAAGTTGTACCGCAGATCCATAAAGGGGTAATCGGCATGGGTGCATAGTGCAAACAGTCGTTACGAGTGGTTAAAAAGTCAAGAAGCCCAAATAATGGTCTAGCAAAAGTAACGTAGCCTGTTCTGAAATCTCTACTGACAACATGTAGAATGCTGTAGCGCTGGTCGATTCGCATCCAGGATTCGGGTCTAGGCCGAAGGGACGAGTTTGAGTAAAAGTGTTTCAAGTGCGGCTCAGACCCAGGAAAAAAACGGTATAAAGTGTTGTTATTGGTTACGAGCCACCGTGAGAAAACTTGAATATTGTAGAATGGGTAATAATAGCGGATGCAAATTTTAGGGTTTTCTGTAGGGATGCAACGATTACACCGATTACTCGGAACTTACCACATTTCCCCGATTATCAGTTGCACCTTTTTGTGCTAAACCTCTTGGGCAAAAAAGGGGATGCAATTTACAATCGAGAGTGACATCCTCTTTATGTGAATATACTGAAGCAATATTGCTCAAGCCTGAAAGTGGGATGCGACTTTTAATCGAGGGCGACTTATAAGTTATAATCGGGGAAATACGGTACTTATTATTTCTGTGATCGCTACTCGTTATGCTGTTCATCGAGTATGCAGTACATGTGCATGTATGCTACAGTACACTACACTGCATATATGCTACAGACTACACTACACTGCATGTATGCTACAAAGCACAGTTACATTCAGATCAACGGTTCATTTGAGTGCACCGGCCGTATATGACCTGGCCCTGGGTGCAGCGTGCAGCCTACAGTAGTAGCAAGAGTATAATTATACCCCCCCCCCCCCCCCCAGAGTGTGCAACTCTGCATACGGGGTCTCTGACGGCGAAAACTCACATCACGTGTCTCAGGTACGTTTTGCACTACGTACAAACGAAGGATAGTGTGCGCGCAAACCGAATATCTGCCATGATCATGCGGGGGGTTTGCATACCCGCAGTGAGTTTCTGTCAGAGAGCGCTTTTTTATTACTCCACTGCTCGCTAAAAAACGGGCTGGAAACGTACAACTGCGACACTTCACCAGGTGATGGGAGTTTTCGCCGTCGGCGTACCCCATAGAAAGGGTATCATGAGTTGCACACTCTTGGGGGGTTATATACTCTTGCTAGCACTGCATGCAAGTACTTGAAGTACACCAGTTTAGCCGTACACCAGTTTAGCCGTACACCAGTTTAGCCGTACACCAGTTTAGCCGTACACCAGTTTAGCCGTACACCAGTTTAGCCGTACACCAGTTTAGCCGTACACCAGTTTAGCCGTACACCAGTTTAGCCGTACACCAGTTTAGCCGTACACCAGTTTAGCCGTACACCAGTTTAGCCGTACACCAGTTTAGCCGTACACCAGTTTAGCCGTAGGTTGCACTGACTGTCTGCATGGTCAACCTCAGTACAAGCGCGGCCAGCGCGAGTCAACCAAGGTGACAAAGTAGTTCACACCTTTTCCTGTCACCTTAGCACTTTTGGGATCCGGTGCGTACCACGCCGCAGTAAAACCAACTGTGCAGGGCGTAGTCGACGCACCTGTTTGAAGGATACTCGTTTTTACCATGTTTACAGCCTTCAAAAAGACAAGCGCCGTGCAGTGCTTCGATATCGATGTGCTGCATCCACATAATAATGTGCTCGTATACGTCGTTGAGTGTTCTTGCCTTCACTTTGGTGGTTTTCGATGCAGTTCTTTTCAAGTAATTTGTGTCGTGAACAAGTGTAACAGCAGTTCAGTGGTTGGTGTATCCTTTTTTTGTGCGTGATGGCATCCACGCCGCCGAAGATATCGCGTGTGAAACAATCTCCGGTGTGGGCGTACCTTGACGAAAACGGCCCGTCGTCTGTTGTTTGCAAACTTTGCAGTGGGAAGCTCGCGCGTCAGAGCGGTACCACAAATTTATTCATTCGGAGACTCATCATATGCCCCAGTACGGTGCACCTTGAAATTGTAGGTGGAAAGCATATTAGTTATCTAACTATCTTCCTCTCTGTTCTGTTTGTCCGCTTATTTTTATATATTTTTCTTTTCTCTTATTAGGCCACACGTTTTTATTTCTATGTTTCTCGTCACCTGAAAATGTAAAAACGTATGCGAGAGGTGGACAAAAATAAAAAATGACCGAAAAATAAAAAAAGTTGCTTAGACCTTTGTTCACACTAAAATCCACGAATACACCATGCAAAATAGCATCCATAGTTAGCAACTAGTAAGTAGTATGTGGTATGTGCTTCTGTCACAATATCTGTGCATGTGCAGCTTGCGCACAAAAAATGCCGTCCTTGCATCATGTGTCGCGCAGGCCAGGCCACATTATGTACATATACATGTGCATGAGTGTGCTGGTGCCCACATGCACAGTCAGTGTAGCACATTTTTTTTCATTTTTTCTTCCAGACTCCTGAATCGTATGAGCGCGGGTGACGAGAAACATAGAAATAAAAACGTGTGGCCTTATCAGTGGGACCATTGTCATTAGGTTTAGGCCTGTTTTGGAACTCCACTCTAAACAAAGCCAAAAAACAACAAGCAGGGTGAAGATGCGAAGAAAACGGCAGTAGGAACTAAGCCAGTGTCGACGTTCTTCCGTAGCGACCGAAAGAGGCCGCGCAACAAGAACCGAGATGGACTGCTCAGATAACACACTACATCTTGGACTGGATTGGCGACTCGATTCGCCCTCTCGTCGATGGTAACTGATGCAGGATTTATTCATCTAATGCACTTCTGTGAGCTGTCATACTCAGTGCCGTCAAGGACCTACTTGGCTGCCTTGCTGGACAAACGCCACACGTCTTGCCAGCAGGAATTGGTGGAGCTGCTGAAGACAGAAGGAGCGGCTGGTGTGTCCCTGACGACTGACGGTTGGTCGTCACCTGCGACGCAGTCAATCATCACCCATACCGTGCACTCCATCAACTCGGACTGGGAACTCTCCAGTGGGGTGCTGGAGACAGGATTATTTGAGGGAAGCCACACTGGTAACAAACTCGCCGACGTCACTGACAGGGTAGTGCTGGATTTCGCTATCCAAGATGGAGTGGTGTGCGCTATCTGCCATGATGAAGCCGCTAATATGGTTGTTGCTGCACGAATGCTGACTGGACGCAATGTGTGGACCAGCCATGTACGTATGGCGCATCGCCTTCAGACAGCGATCCGTCACGCTCTCGATGCGAAGGAGTTGGCATCTCTCCTGGCAAGAAGTCGCCGTCTTGTAGGGCACTACAAGCATTCTTGTCTTGCAACAGAAGCTTTGACCAATAAGCAGCTGCAACTTGATTCGTCGAAGCAGCCCGTTAGAGAAATCCAGGACGTAGCTACCCGCTGGATGTAGCTAAAAATTATTATATGTTGCGCCGCCTCGTTGATCTTCGTGTTGCTGTGACTGCTGCGACTGCTGTGCTCTGCGACGACAAGCTAACTCCAAAGAAGGCCGACCGCGAATTGCTCTTGAGAGGCAGCCAGTGGAAGTTGGCAGAGGAGCTAACGTGTTTGTTGGAGCCGTTTGAAGTCGCCATCACTATCATCAGTGGGCAACATGAAAAAAGATGCTCCGTGGTACCAGGTCATCAGCCTACCAGTCGTCCCTGGCTTCCGCTACCACGGCTACGTCAGTACTCTCCGCTGTCAGCCAGGCTGCAAACCTCACTTCCATTCCCAGTGTTGGATGTGTCAGACTCCAGCTCCATCGCTCCAGGTGCTAAAAGGTAGCTGTTTCATATACAGTCTATTACCCAATGCTGTAGACAGCAAGCCGTTTCGGCCATAAAGACCTCATCAGTACACAAGATACAGTATACAGTAGATTATAAAGTGCCTGATAGTGATGGACCAACAGCTCTAGCACTAGGACATACCATGTGACCTGGCTAGCTCCAATGCAGCGCGACTGTCCTCCAGACTGCCACCTGTGATCATAATCTAGATTACGCAGCACACACCGCACACACAGCACACACCGCACACACAGCACACACAGCACCCACAGCACACAGCACACACACCGCACACACAGCACACACACCGCACACACAGCACACGCCAAACACATATCACAACAGCACATAGCACATATCACGCATCGCAACGCCACCCAGCACACACCGCGACGCCACCCAGCACACCCAGCATACGCAACACCAGGTGGCAATGGTGTAAAGAAAATGAAGGAGCAGATTCCTATCCAGTACTCATCTTCCACTGCAGTAGTGCCAAATAGATTCGGCCCTGCATATGTGTGTGTGTGTGTGTGTGTGTGTGTGTGTGTGTGTGTGTAGGGGGGGGGGGGGGGGGGTATTCATTCAAATGCCCCCCCCCCCCCCATCACCACCACCACCAACACACGCACATATGCACGCACTCTCATAAACACACTCTCACACACACCAATACACACGCACACACACACACGCACACGCACACACACACGCGCACACACACACACACACACACACACACACCCCTTGTACCTTGACCCACCTTGTCAACACCAACATCGAAGGCACGCTGAAGGACAGCATCGAAGTCATCTGCAAGGTCCAGCAGCACAAAAAGTAGTAATATATCCACTTGAGTCCACTCATTCCATTGGACATTGAGTATATCAGACCATTCATACAGAACAGAACAACAAGGACAATCAAGGCTTGTTTGCTGCGACTTGAAGTTTCATGCTCTCGCAATCATCAGGCAACATGAAGATTGGGTGCCGACCATGCCAGTATAATATCATATGCCAGGAGAAGGTATGAAAAGCTGCGAGAATGTGAGGGCTAGTGGTGTTATCTTAGGCAGGTGGCTGTGTGCAGAGTGTGTGGTTGTTGAAGGCAGGGGCTAGCAGTGCAACGTTAACGCAGAATGTGTGGCTGGTGTGGCCAGGAGGTGGTGAGCAATGTGCGTGGATGTCGTAGGCAGGAGGCTATAGTCTAGAGCTAGGAGTGTGATATTAGCGCAGTGTACATGCAAATGGCTGGTGTGGGCAGGGTGTTATGAGCAAGGCGTGCGAACGTGAATGGTGTGGGCAGGAGGCCATTCATAAAAAGAAAGGTTTATTCTTTCAGAGACTGTAGTCATACATGTACTGAGAAGAAAAAACGAAAAAAATTCGACGGGTTCGCATACCGGGCAGGTCAAGAACAAGGAGTCGTACAACTCCCTGGTCAAGAACCACCTTTCCGCTTCCGTGGGACGCCACCACCCCATGATCAGGCGCCAGATGCGGCTCCTAAACGGTGGGGGAGGATAGATCAGATCCACCAACCATAGGCCAAAGGCCTAAATCCCATTTGCCACTGAGAAGAAGGAAACTGTTAAAGAAACTGTAGTAGGGAATCGTCTCTTCAACACCTTCACAACCAAGGTTTTCCACTTCAATTGCAATTACTCTAATTTCAGAAATTTTAGGTGCTCAATAGTTTCGGTATGAGGGCAAAAAGGCCAGGTTAGGTGAACAGAAATTTTAGGTACAGAGGAGCAGTTCCCTATTGGATTATGGGTGTTAGCGTTTGGAATTTTAGGTATGAAACAGACACATGCATTTAAGTGGTCTTTGTAAAAATAAAAAAATAAAAAAAATAAAAACATGTAGTAGGGAAAGCGGGAGAAAGGAATCCTGCTTACCTGCGTGAGCGGTTTTGCCCCGATACACTCCTCGGAATACGGGATCTGGAGAAATAAATACAACGGAGCAACAAAACAAAAGCATAAAAGTATGCCATCATCGAATGGTGCATGCATCACACACGAAAAGAGAAAGAGGAAAAAAGATGACGTGCCTGGAAACGAGATGCGAAGAGCGGTGGAACTATGACAGAAAGACAGGTCGACGAAGACACCGACACAGATTAACACCCACACCCACGCGCTCAAACACACACACACACACACACACACACACACACACACACACACAAACAGAGCTTCTCGAATGCATGGTGCGGTTTGCCACTTTTGGGCTCCGTTTGTTTTCAGTAAATCTTGCAGTATTTGACCCTCAGGGGCTAGCTCAGTACGATGGACACAAACGTTATGGTGATATCAGAGTAGAAGGCCGGTTTGGGGTTCCAGATCCTGTGCGGGGACATTCTTTCCGTCAGTCTTGCTCAACGCGTGAAAGTCATTTTCTTTTCAAAATACTCAAAGAAATGGAAAGGGAACGTAGTCTTGCTGCCGATCGAGACGCTAGATTGCACAGGAAAATCGACGATCTCGCCCGTTTAGTTTCCTCCTTGACGGGGATCGTCAATGAATCTGGATCACCAACGTTTTCAATGGTGGCAGCGAAGACAGTCGGCCATGACGAGACCAAGAGCAAGGGAAAGCCACTTCGCGCACGGAGCAGTTTCAAAGCTGGAGAACAAGCTGAGTCTGTGAAGACCGTACCGTGGGACGCAGATCTAGGAATGCGCCAACATCTTCAGACAGCCATGCTCAACCGGATCTGGAAGCTTCAACGGCAATATCCACCACGCGTACGGACGTTGACTCGGTTCATGACCCCGTACGCAGAGATCAAATATGGGCCTAGGTGATCCGGAACCGGGACCGTGGGCAGAGGGATATTGGAAATAGGGCAGAGGGATATTAGAAATCCAGTGTTGCACACAAGATCATCGATCGCCTGACAAAATTTGAGGACACGCAGGACGATGTCGAAGCTTCCTGGACGCTGGTCACGATTACTAAGCCCTCGCAGAAAACGTCTTGTTTTCTTCGTTGGGAACCTGCTACCCGACATGCAGAGTGAGCAGTTGAAACTGTTTATTGAATGCAGAGCTGCAGACATCGATCACCCTGTCTGTGTATTTGATGTGAAGATCTTCCCCAAAGAATCTTCATCCTTGGCCAGGATCACCATCAACGCTTCCAGTGCGAAGCTAGTCAACAGCCGCCGTTTCTGGCCTGCTCCACTGTACAGTAGGTGTTGGAATTTTGACAAGTACAGATCTGAAACAGAGGACAGCCACAGCAGTGTGACACGTCCTGAGGAAAATTCCCAGCAACGCAGCAGGAAATTTATGCTCAGCCCCACGCCAACCAGTACATGCCCAGCCCACCATGACACGCCTAGTCCACCAGTACATGCCCAGTCCACCAGTACATGCCTAGTCCACCAGTACATGCCTAGTCCACCAGTACATGCCCAGTCCACCATGACATGCACAGTCCACCAGTACATGCCCAGTCCACCAGTACATGCCTAGTCCACCAGTACATGCCCAGTCCACCAGTACATGCCCAGTCCACCAGTACATGCCCAGTCCACCAGTACATGCACAGTCCACCAGTACATGCCCAGTCCAACATGACATGCCCAGTCCACCAGTACATGCCCAGTCCACCAGTACATGCCTAGTCCACCAGTACATGCCCAGTCCACCATGACACGCCCAGTCCACCAGTACATGCCCAGTCCACCAGTACATGCCTAGTCCACCAGTACATGCCCAGTCCACCAGTACATGCCCAGTCCACCAGTACATGCCTAGTCCACCAGTACATGCCCAGTCCACCAGTACATGCCCAGTCCACCATGACACGCCGCAAAACTCCAACAGTTAGACTATGGCTGCTCCACACTAGGAGCATGTGGAACAAAGTTGGAGAGATGGCACGGCTTGCACTTCACCTGCATGCCATTTGCAATGGGCGGATATTTCCTGTTGTGAAGAGGGCCAAGTATCGGCCTACATTTTGATTCAGATATGAGTTGGAACGCTACAACCAGCCATGTTGCACGCCGTGTTGCTGCCGCTAAGATTGGGTTTACGCAATCAAAGCGCAACCTGTTTGTCTTTCTCATGCTGCATTCAGTTTTTCAGCTCCTTCATATCTTGATGGCATCTTCCTGTTTTCTGTTTGTTTGCTTTCTGCTGTTTTTTGCCCGGCTGAGCTCTTCGCTCTGCACTTAGTCCGGAGCAAACCGTTGATGTAGGCATCAGTACCTTTGGGTTATCAGTAATACTCAATAATAATTGAATTACTGTATCTGAATCTGGCTATGCATCTGCTGCCTATGCCCCTTTCTTATCATCCAAAACTGATAAGCGCCTACCGTATTTCCCCGATTGTAAGTCGCACCTTTTTACACTAAAATTCAAGGTAAAAAAGGGGGTGCGACTTACAATCGAACATGACTTGCTACTGAAGTGAATATATCGCAACAATATTGCTCAAACTTGAAAATGGGGGTGCAGCTTATAATCGAGTGCGACTTATAATCGGGGAAATACGGTACACAGTTTGTTCAAGTATGCAGCCCGCTCAGTATGCAGGGCAGCTCCTCTCACTCATACAGCAACCTCACTTGAACGCATGCATGTCCACACACTTAGTAGTAGATCCACAAGCACATCCTTGTCTTCATTTGGCGTTGCCTGCACACCGTAAAAGTCCGTAAATAAGTACCTGCCCCAACTACACACCCCCTTCATTCTTTTGACTCTGTCTGTTGAAATCAAGTCAAGCCCGATAGACATACGGCCCAAAATAAGTACCGGTACAGTTTGCACATGCAGCGTGTAGTATGTACAGCTACATGAAAAACGTCTTCTCCGTTACGCACAATTCGAGTCCGAAAGCTAGCTCGTGCACGAAAGTTAGTAAGGGTGTGACCACTAAATTCGAAAGTAAGTTCGTACTTAGGGGCAGTCCGTAATTAGCGATCTTCTTCACGAAGAGAAAAAGTTTAGTTTATGGGTGGGTGTTTTTTTTTTTTTTTGAATTCTTTATTCTCACGATGGCACCATTGTTAATAAGAGATACGGTTGAAGAGAGTTTCGTTTTGAAAAATATCGATTGCTGAAACATCAATCTATTCTAGCTGTCAAGTCAATATATTTTTCGTTCAAGGGGGTGGGTGGGTGGGGGAGGGTCAGAACTAAACTTTCAGGTTGGTTGTAAATCTGAGTTTCATGCCGCTAGGCAATCATCAGACAACTGAGCTCTGTCTCTGACATTGAGCACTCTCTGCAGCTCAGGGATGAACGGATTTGCACTTTCCAGTACATGTATGTACAGCCTCTACTTGTCCTTCTTTTTGTCTTTTACCAGTGGGACTATTGTGAACATGTGGGTAAGTAGCAGCTGTCTGCCTGTTCATCAATGAGTTAGTTCAACCTCCAGCACATGCGCTCTCTGGCCAACCTCATTCGCACCAGCAACATGACTCCAAGTTGTGAGGGATAATTGTTACTAGGCTTGCGTCTGTTTTCGTTCAATAAACTCAACAACAGCAACAACAACAACAACAACAACAACAACAACAACAACAACAACAACAACAACAACAACAACAACAACAACAACAACAACAACAACAACAACAACAACAACAACAACAACAAGAACAAGAACAAGAACAAGAACAAGAACAAGAACAAGAACAAGAAGAACAAGAACAAGAACAAGAACAAGAACAAGAACAAGAACAAGAACAAGAACAACAAGAACAAGAACAAGAACAACAACAAGAACAACAACAACAAGAACAAGAACAAGAACAAGAACAAGAACAAGAACAAGAACAACAACAACAACAACCTTTTCATAAATTTATCTTTTATTGGCGATGGTGCCATCGTGAGAATAAAGAATTCAAACAACAACAACAACAACAACAAAACAACAACAACAACAACAACGGTGTTGCGGTGTTAGAATTTCTTGGAATAGCATGTAGGGGTTTCTGGTCGTTGCACCATTGCTCCCCCTGCTACTAGGCGTGTGCAGTTGTGCTTGCTGAAATCCTACCCAGAGTGCATAATTGGCGCCCTCAACTTGCACGGTCCTTGATGCCCTGGAAGTGGCACGAACACGGCTGGGTGTACACATGAACAAGTAATCGGAACTGGTCCAGGACATCAGTTGTGTGCTTTGGGTCGGACTTCAGTGAACACAATAGGGGTGTCATTGGGTAGCAGGGTACCCGTGCTACCCGTAATTGGAGCGGGTAGCAGGGCAGCAGTATGTTCCTGAGAACCCGATAGTGTAGTTCGAGAACGGTATATTTTCGCACGGTGCATGTAAAAAGCGTGACTGTGCAAGTTCTATGCACACTCAAGGCACAGACTACATGTATGTTGAGAAATACCCGATAGGGCGCCCGTGCTAACCCGGGTAGAAGTACCCGATAGGGCGCCCGTGCTAACCCGGGTAGAAGTACCCAATAGGGCGCCCGTGCTAACCCGGGTAGAAGTACCCAATAGGGCGCCCGTGCTAACCCGGATAGAAGTACCCGATAGGGCGCCCGTGCTAACCCGGGTAGAAGTACCCGATAGGGCGCCCGTGCTAACCCGGATAGAAGTACCCGATAGGGCGCCCGTGCTAACCCGGATAGAAGTACCCGATAGGGCGCCCGTGCTAACCCGGGTAGAAATACCCGATAGGGCGCCCGTGCTAACCCGGGTAGAAGTACCCGAACTCGTTACCCGACCAAACCCCTACCCGTTGCAGCCCTAGAACGCAACTGTGTATCAACTCAAGACTACATGGTCAATGCTTACCTGTTAGGTTGGCTCCAATGTCTGCAGGAAATATACACAAATAGACACAAACGAACACATAAGCAAACACATACAACGGAGGCGAAAAGCTGCTCCCAGCTGCATCCACTGGCCCTGTTTGGTAAACATGTGTGTTGCTGTTTTCGGTTTTTTTTTCCTTTGCTTCATCCAGTCCAGGGCTGGCAAATGGCAAAGAACACATAACAGCTCTGCTTGATATGTGCGTGAGAACTCAACGGATAGAAGAGGATTGAACGTTTTGGCTTTTTAATTTGTTTTAATCACAAAGCTCCTGTTTTGTATGCACACGGTTTCATTATCACTAATTGAAGTCTGTCCCTCCAGGAAATCGCAATTCCACGTGTAAAGGAAATGGTATTGCCTTCTCCCCCTGGCCCCTGTCACACAACAGCTCAAACAACTTGGTGGAGTTTCTGACTTCTTACACATACGGAAAGGGCACAGGAGGAGAAAGACGAAAAGACTAGACGGAAAACGACGACGGGAAAGACTCCCGGGAAAAGACTCAGAGGATCAACAAAGAACAAGCAGTAATAAACCGAGGACAAATCGAGACGACCAATCAGGGACGAATACGTACAGAACACATGACCAAGACCACGACAACCAGACCACGGACGAATCACACACGACTCTCATTCCCAGACCAAACTAGCACTGCGCATGTACTGCATTCACTTGACAGTCACTCTCACACAGACGGAAGCACATCCTCACACTCTGACAACGCGTACTCTTGCATGCATCACATACCATAAACGTCACACATCACACCATACTCGCGCGTATACTTAGACCATATATGACATCAGACACTGGACTCCACAAGACAAGAACCAAATACAACGACATGCGTAAATCATACAAGACGAAATCCGTAACACAGCATTCCCCTCCAGCGAGAGTCGACCTCGACTCTTTCAGAACAAACGACAAAGGTCAGAAAAAAGAAACAAGGGGAAACACAACTAAACGATAAGACAACGGAATGCTGTGGCCAGAGATGTGTGATCCGATTTGGAATAGGAAGCCTTCATGGGTGCAGAATCTTGGGAAATCGGCGTCTTGGCCAGTCGGTTGTTGTTGTTGGTGCGCCAAGCAGGGCAAAAAAAAAAAGAAACACAGGTACAGCAGCATCTGATCAGTACAAGGTGAGGATAGCAGGAACAAAACAAACAACTGGTCACCAATACGCAAATAATATTATAGAGAAAAAACCACAGGGATTGAACCTGAAAAAACCACAGGGATTGAACCTGAAAAAACCACAGGGATTGAACCTGAAAAACACGGAACTACATCCGCTTCGCAAAAAAACGAGAAAAAAAACTGTCAGGGACCGACTGGGGCGCGCAAGGGCCAACCAGCAACATACGGAAACCATAACACCCGCAAGGCAAACCGATACAACAAAACACAGGATCCCTGCAGACCACCAGGCAGACCGTGGCTCACCATGATCAGACGCCCACCCAAACGAACTAGAGAAACCCATATGCCGAAACACAATAATTACGAAACCATACGCTCACAAAAAAATTCAACCTGGATCCGAAACGAGAATCCTACAAACCATCACAGGAAACCAAACAGTTACACAACTATCCCCTCGCGCACTGACAGCAAACATACGCACACTGCAAACACCAAACCCTTTACTGGTAGCGACTCACCGGGGAAGGGGCCTGCAGGCCAGGCTGGCGAACGCCTTTCCATCTCCATGGCCGTAGTAGCAATCTCGGTGAAGTGAGTTGGTCGACGAGAGAAATAAAATATATTTCGAAACGGCGAGCACGAACTGAAGCCACGGCGAAAACAAAACGATCCCAGGGTCGTGGGCTGCAGAGGTAGTACCCTGCGTCGAGCGAACGTTGGGCGCCAATGTAAAGGAAATGGTATTGCCTTCTCCCCCTGGCCCCTGTCACACAACAGCTCAAACAACTTGGTGGAGTTTCTGACTTCTTACACATACGGAAAGGGCACAGGAGGAGAAAGACGAAAAGACTAGACGGAAAACGACGACGGGAAAGACTCCCGGGAAAAGACTCAGAGGATCAACAAAGAACAAGCAGTAATAAACCGAGGACAAATCGAGACGACCAATCAGGGACGAATACGTACAGAACACATGACCAAGACCACGACAACCAGACCACGGACGAATCACACACGACTCTCATTCCCAGACCAAACTAGCACTGCGCATGTACTGCATTCACTTGACAGTCACTCTCACACAGACGGAAGCACATCCTCACACTCTGACAACGCGTACTCTTGCATGCATCACATACCATAAACGTCACACATCACACCATACTCGCGCGTATACTTAGACCATATATGACATCAGACACTGGACTCCACAAGACAAGAACCAAATACAACGACATGCGTAAATCATACAAGACGAAATCCGTAACACACGGATGCAACAATTTTCGCGATTTTGGCCCAAACCCGCGATTTTCTGCATAATCCGCGATTTCCCGCGTTTTTTGTTGTTTCCTGTACTTTTCCAGCAATGCTTTCCATGATCATGTTGTTTTTTTGCAAAGTACAACTCATACTCCCGAGTACATGTACCGTACATCTACCATGTCTACTGCGCAAACAAAAAAAAGCGATTCTACGGATGCAACAAATTTCGTGATTTGGCCCAAATCCGCTATTTTTCTGCAAATAATTCCGCGAATTCCGGGCAAGTTCCGCATCTTTCCGCACTTTTCGCAGCATTTTTTGTTGCTTTCTGCCGCAATTTCTTGCGCAAGTTTTCGAGATTTTTTCCGCAAATTCCCGCAGGGACAGTGAAGTATTATTCCCCCCCCCCCCCCCCCCCCTCCTCGCTCTCAGTGTTAAAAATCAACCTTCCACATGTCAGTACTGTCGTAAGGTGTTATTTCCCTAGTTCTGGTTCCTATTTCCCTAACTCTGGTTCCTATTTCCCTAACTCTGGTTCCTACTTCCCTAGCTCTGGTTCCTACACGAGTTCTGTCTCTTTGCGTTGTGCATAAATAAATAATGATTCATGCGTTTTCGAAAAATTAATATTGGGAGAAAATTGGAAAGTACTGCTCAACGAGCCTGATCCCCTTACCGATAAATTTGTATCCAGACCGTACTGCAGGGCAACTTGCGGCAGCCATATCTACTGATAGTAGTCCCTGTCCGTCTTCACGGCACTCAACAAATTGTGTCAAGATCACAGACTGCACTTACGTCTCTGCACTTTGTTTGATTAAAATATGTGTACGTCTTTCGCTTTGGAATTTGTTTTGAAAAAATGCCATTTCAAAAAATCCCTGACCCTGTGGATGATGCACATGCACACGGCACGTGACGCCACACCGATCTCGTGAGTGCAGCTAGTGACATCACCAGATCACTGGCATGACGTATGCGCATATAACATTTAGTAGCAAAAAAACACTTTTCCACACACGTACACCAGTGCAGTGCAGTACACGCAGCACAGTCACGCACTCATTCCACTTCTTTTTCGCCAACACGGGAACAGACCGGATTATAAAATTGTAGAAGACCAGAAAGAAAAATAGCTGCTGTCCCTTTTCCATTGCTGGTCCCAGTCGCTCACCGCTGTGGCCAAGTTTTGGGGAGCAAGGTCTGTTCTCGTACGAGTGTCTGGCAATGGCGTGGCGTTTGGGTCGCTCGGCGTTCCAGCAGCTATGTCCGTCGCGAGCACTTCAAGGGCAGCAGCAGCGTCAAATAATAGCGGCGGCGAATACGATAGGATCTAGACGCAGTTACAATGGCGACTGTATTAGAAACGTAAGAAATACTAGTACGTGTGGAATGGTGATGTCCCAGCGTGCCTATTCAATGCTACGGAAGCAAGCAGCGGCAACAACGACATTGCCATCGGGCCAAGCTCTGTCCAGATCGTGGCGAGTAGATGGTGCCCTTGCTCGTGACACGCGCCTGACTGGTACTACACTGCTGTTACGCCGCAGCATGGGTTCTGCGGACCGGGAGCCGGTGGGTCGGACATCGGCGGGATTGGTGGGTGCGGGCGGGTTGGATTCCGTCTGGCCATTTGTATCCCGTTCAGCCATCCTATTTTTATGTAAGTACTAAGTGGGCCTGAGGCTCTGGGCAACCCCACGAGTGTGCGCATTTCAAACGTTGTGCTGTAAAAGGAACATACCACAAGTCTACCGTGTTTGCGAATGCTTACTTGCTGTGCGTGTGCTTACTTGCTGTGCGTGTGTGTACGTGTGCATGTGTGTACGTGTGCGTGTGTGTATGTGTGTGTACGTGTGTGTGCGTGTGTGTACGTGTGTGTGTGTGTACGTGTGTGTGTGTGTACGTGTGTGTGTGTGTACGTGTGTGTGTGTGTACGTGTGCGTGTGTGTACGTGTGCGTGTGTGTACGTGTGTGTGTGTACGTGTGTGTGTGTACGTGTGTGTACGTGTGTGTACGTGTGTGCATATGTGATGTTTCTTACAGTCGTGACATTGTTTGCGACCGGCTGCTCCTATATTTCCCAGCGGAAGATGAGGGAGCGCGGTGTCTGGTACAAACTGGCTAAGGTACGGGGGGGTACAAGCCGCGAAAGGTAGGGGGGGGGGGGGGTACAAACTGCCAAAGGTAGGGGGGGGGGGCATGTTACTTGCTTGCATGCATGTGTAACGAAAAGCTGCTCAGTCACTCGAGCCGTCCCTCCGCATGCTGTTCCCGCCCGCTCATCCTATAGTGCCTCTTCCGTTGCTAGCTGGCCTTATTAATCTACGTCGCCGCTAAGGCTGTATGAGTAGTCTAAGTCTGCTGAGTGCTGTTTTGGGTGGTGCTATTGCACTGCCTTTGTATCACATCTATAATGTGTGTGTATGTGTGCGTGTGTGTGCATGTGTGTGTATGTGTATATGTGTATGGCTTCGCCAGTTGTGTGGATTAGACAGTTATCCGTGGCGCTTGTCTTGATCTGTTTCAATCAGAATCAGATCCGCTATCGTTGCTATAAAGAGAAAATCTGTGGGTGCACTTCCAGTGCATTCAATGCAGATTTGCGTGCTTCTCTTGCGGCGGGCGTATACATGGTACATGGTGTGTGGGTGTGGGTGTTTTTTATTTTATTTTTTTACTATGTTCACATACCCAACTCGTAAAATAATGAAAGACAATGCAGACAGTGGTCTGTAGTTACAGGCTGGTCGCTAGTCACGGTGGTCTGTAGTTACAGGCTGGTCGCTAGTCAGGATGGTCTGTAGTACCAGGCTGGTCGCTAGTCACGGTGGTCTGTAGTTACAGGCTGGTCGCTAGTCACGGTGGTCTGTAGTTACAGGCTGGTCGCTAGTCACGGTGGTCTGTAGTACCAGGCTGGTCGCTAGTCACGGTGGTCTGTAGTACCAGGCTGGTCGCTAGTCACGGTGGTCTGTAGTACCAGGCTGGTCGCTAGTCACGGTGGTCTGTAGTACCAGGCTGGTCGCTAGTCACGGTGGTCTGTAGTACCAGGCTGGTCGCTAGTCACAGTGGTCTGTAGTACCAGGCTGGTCGCTAGTCACGGTGGTCTGTAGTACCAGGCTGGTCGCTAGTCACGGTGGTCTGTAGTACCAGGCTGGTCGCTAGTCACAGTGGTCTGTAGTACCAGGCTGGTCGCTAGTCACAGTGGTCTTTAGTTACAGGCTGGTCGCTAGTCACAGTGGTCTGTAGTTACAGGCTGGTCGCTAGTCACGGTGGTCTGTAGTACCAGGCTGGTCGCTAGTCACAGTGGTCTGTAGTTACAGGCTGGTCGCTAGTCACGGTGGTCTGTAGTTACAGACTGGTTGCTAGTCACGGTGGTCTTTAGTTACAGGCTGGTCGCTAGTCACGGTGGTCTTTAGTTACAGGTTTTACTGTAGTACCAGGCTGGTCGCTAGTCACGGTGGTCTTTAGTTACAGGTTTTACTGTAGTACCAGGCTGGTCGCTAGTCACGGTGGTCTTTAGTTACAGGTTTTACTGTAGTACCAGGCTGGTCGCTAGTCACGGTGGTCTTTAGTTACAGGCTTTACTGTACTTCAATACGTGGTGTTACTGTTTTGGTTGTTTGTGCGTTCCGCTGTGCAGTTGCACTATCAGATCGGTCAGAAGGGCTACGCGGCCAACGCTCTCTTCAAGGAGGCACTGATACAGACGCGCACGCTGGCACAGCGATCAGCGTACGGTGATTATGACGCCGTGGAGGAGCTCATCAAGCTCATGGATTTGGTGAGTGTGTGGAAACTACAGTTGATTAGATTCTTGGTTGGAGGGGAAACAAATGTTTGTTTGTTTGTTTTTTTTTGTTTTTTTTTTTACTTCACCACGTGAACAGGCATTTCTGCCTTCTCACCAGGTCCGGAGACCTAGTTCCAACAAAATGATGAAGAGTAAATGAAAATGTATGTGAAAAATGATTAAAATCATGCAGAATGTTATAATTATGAAAGCGGATAAAAATGATTGAATCACGAGACGTGGAGCATGAATTTTATGGAGTATGAACACAGAGCATACAGAAAAAAATGAAAAAAATGAAATTAGTACATTAAGCACAGAAGGCGGATAGTTTCGACTCGGCCTTGTCATTTCTTTGCTCTGTTGGGTGCTATTTTGTCACTGCTCTGGCCTCCAAAGTGCCGGTTATAAGGACTTCCGTCCGGGGGGCTCTCGCCGGGGAAGTATTTGAAATTAGAGTGCAAAATCCTGCATTCTGGGCACTTTTTGGCATTGTATTAAAAAAGTGCCGGACCGGCTGCTACGCCCCGGATAATGCCATGGCAACGCGGCAACGGAGTCTTGTGCTTGTGTGTGTTTGCCAATGTCCTGCAGACGGTTACCTGTCTACTAGAGGCTCTTAACCATCAAGATGTAAGTTCTACGAGTACTGTTTACCGCTAGAACATAAGACGGCAAGAGTACATGAAAACCAGAGTGTGCAGCTTGGGGCCTTTTCTGCTATGGGTGTCTGTCACGGCGGAATTCCGTGATTACATCATTATTTGGCGCAGATCTAGGCAGGAAATGGCGTAGTGCGTACAACTGAGCTGCAGTTGTGCAGAAAGAGACCTGCTTGAATCCTGCTTGTACGCGCTAATAATAAAAATATAAATTTCACGGTTCGCGTGAGACTCGGCTGGAAGCCGAGTTTTCCGCATTCGCCGTGGGAACGCCACAACCCTCTAGGATCAAGGTGCAGATGCAGCACCTAAACAGTGGGAGGTGAGTAGATCAGACCCACCACCAAGTGGTCAAAGACCGAAAATCCCATTAGCTGCATCCATTGTACACACTGCATCACTGAAATGATGTTATCACGGAATTCCGCCGTGACAGCAACCCATCCGAGCTGCACCCTCTGGTTTTCATGTACTCTTGGTAAGATACGCTCACCATCTACCAGAGACGTCGGACACGCTACGGTCACAACGACCATACTACTACCTCAATGAGCTTTATGCATAAAACATGGCCGCCGCCTTCCTGAAGGGCAACATGTCCCATATTTGGCAGGTACAGCCAGTTGTAGTACTTATATGGGTATGATCGTACACAGTTCATAGCTCTTGATGCAGGATTGGTATCATAGTGTGTACCGTTTTAGTGGACTTGCCCCTCAAGATCAAATGGCGTGAGTAGTATGCATAAACCCTATTGTCGGCAGGTCGTGACGTGCCTCCAAAATCGGCAGGCTACTTTCATGTCACCAGGTGTGACAACACAGGTTAGACCACTTCCATTGCTCAAACAGTGCTCAATACCCGGACCTCCGCTGCTCAAACAGTGCTCAATACCCGGACCTCCGCTGCTCAAACAGTGCTCAATACCCGGACCTCCGCTGCTCAAACAGTGCTCAATACCCAGACCTCCGCTGCTCAAACAGTGCTCAATACACGGACCTCGCTGCTCAAACAGTGCTCAATACACGGACCTTCGCTGCTCAAACAGTGCTCAATACACGGACCTCCGCTGCTCAAACAGTGCTCAACACACGGACCTCCGCTGCTCAAACAGTGCTCAATACCCGGACCTCCGCTGCTCAAACAGTGCTCAATACCCGGACCTCCGCTGCTCAAACAGTGCTCAATACACGGACCTCCGCTGCTCAAACAGTGCTCAATACACGGACCTCCGCTGCTCAAACAGTGCTCAATACGCGGACCTCCGCTGCTCAAACAGTGCTCAATACACGGACCTCCGCTGCTCAAACAGTGCTCCATACACGGACCTCCGCTGCTCAAACAGTGCTCAATACCCGGACCTCCGCTGCCCAAACAAACTCTATGCCCGGATTTCCACGAACCAATACAGTCATGTACTAATAATGATATGAACAGGTGGCATATTGCCCGCATAAACAAATCATACGGGGGTCATGCATCTGTCAATGATCGTTAACCAGAGTTGCTTGTTGTCGGCCTCTGAATGTGCCAATTCAGGAATGCCTCAACCTTGCCACCAACAAGCAACTCTGGTTAACGATCATTGACAGTCATCTACATGTACTTGACATGAGTTGTTTTCTTCTTAGCCTCCGAAGGCATCCTCCAGTCCTTCTTCTTCAGGACTCTCATATTTACGCATGGAGGGACGTATGCTTTCCAACTCCTGTACGGTTGTTGGAAAGACCGACTTTGAAAGCTATGCTTTTGCCGCTATTCTACTTCTAGCGTTCTTTAAAAAACACATAGTCCTACTGCTGTGTTTCCATGGTTACAGGCTAAACGACTCCTGGACAAATGGAAGATGGCGTTGGTGGATATCATGCAGCTTGACGAGGTGAGTGGGCAGTCAGCCCCTTCCCAACCGAGAGGGAGAGAGAGAGAGAGAGAGAGAGAGAGAGAGAGAGAGAGAGAGAGAGAGAGAGAGAGAGAGAGAGAGAGAGAGAGAGAGAGAGAGAGAGAGAGAGAGAGAGAGAAAGAGAGAGAGAGAGAGAGAGAGAGAGAGAGAGAGAGGGAGGGAGGGAGAGAGAGAGAGAGAGAGAGAGAGAGAGAGAGAGAGAGAGAGAGAAAGAGGGTGAGAGAGAGAGTGTGTGTTTTGTGTGTGTGTGGGGGGGGGGGGGGGGGTGTTTAGATGTGCTTGAACGAGATGCTGTGATTTCGAATGTATCAGTACAGTGCATGATACACGCACGTTACGTAATGCAGGCAGGGTGCCGTGCTCGGTCCCCTTACATAGCGTACCCTTCTTTATATACTCTTGATTCAGATTGTTGTAGTCTTGTCTCTTGCATGCAGTCTTGGCAAAATGGATGTAATTACCGATCGATTGGAGCATTACACATTACAGAGAATATGCTTCAGTTAGGTTCTGAATGGGAAACTCCGAAAGTGACAATGTGTGTGTGTGTGTGTGTATGTTGTGTGTCTGTCTGTCTGTCCACCTCGCCGCCTGTCCGTGTGTCCATCTGTGCGGTTGTGCGGCTGTTTGGCAGGCTGATCGATTACGTGTGATCTTGTCTGCACGTTACGGTGATGTCTATTCATGTGCTGACGAGTAAGTACCGCCGGGTTAAACACCATGTACTAACTAAACACACACTTTCAACACTTTGTTTACTCTCTCTCTCTCCCTCTCTCTCTCTCTCTCTCTCTCTCTCTCTCTCTCTCTCTCTCTCTCTCTCTCTCTCTCTCTCTCTCTCTCTCTCTCTCTCCCTCTCTCTCTCTCTCTCCCTCTTTCTCTCTCTCTCTCTCCCTCTCTCTCTCTCTCTCTCTCTCTCTCTCTCTCTCTCTCTCTCTCTCTCTCTCTCTCTCTCTCTCTCTCTCTCTCTCTCTCTCTCACGCATGCACGCAAGCACCCAAATTTCAAATCGGATCAGGAAAATGAGTTTCGAGCCTACAATGTCTGGCCAGGACTAGTTTGAGGATGCGGTGTACCTGGCTTATAGCAATGTCTGTGTGTCTGTGTGCGTGCGTGGGTGTGTGTGGGTGTCCACGTGCATCTGGTTGCCCATGCATGCCTGTAGCACTATGCGGGCATACCAACACTACGGCCAAGCGCTGCGTAACGGACAGCTGCTTGTTGAACGAGCGCCGACGGAGGAAAAGTAAGCAAGTCTACTATTGGTCATGTCATTTCTCTAATTTTTTTATGAAAGTGCACATGCCTACATAGAGTGGAAGAGAACAACAACAACAACAACAACAACAACAGCAGCAGCAAGAGAACATAGCTGACTACAAAAACAAAACAAAAACAAACCAAAAAACAGAGGCATATACCGCCCACTGTACCCTGGTGGCAACTGGAATCCAACCTCATGGCCATAACGCCTGGGTGAGCAGCGCAGCCGTAGCACTGGGAGCAACAGGGCCATGCGGTGAGACAGAGTATCCTGCATCCATTTGGTTAGATTTCATTTGCCCCCAGTGTAGTGTAAAAGCAGACATTTCGGTGGTGTAATATTTTCGGTATTTTCCAAAATCGGCAGTTCTGTGGAGGGAATTTTTCGGTAAACCCGCTTTCCAGGTAAGTGCACTAGTACTATAATTATAGTACTGACATTTTCGGTGCGTTTTTTAGGTAAAAATTGTCGGCACCAAAGTTAGGCCGATTCCACACTACACCAAATCCTGCCTAAAAAGCCATTTTTCAGGCACTTTTCAGGCAAGTTGCCATGGCGATCACTTTGAGAAACGCGCGAAAGTGAAAAGTGCTTGTTGTCTACAAAGCAACACCAGCACCCTCTTTCAAGGCAACTTTTTAACTTTTCAGGACACTTTTTTGACTTTTCTTCAGCCTTTCGATTTTTTCCGAATGTGTTCCCTGTCGTATCTTTCAGTTGTGGTGAGTTGTGAGCTGTCAACAATGCCTAGGGTCATGTTTAGCCAGGAGCTTGAGGGCAAGCTGATCGAGCTTTGGAGCGGATATTTGAGGCGACCTCCGGCCGGTACAGTTCGCAGGAGCTACGCCGGAGGAGATCGCCATCAAGCTGAATTTGTTTGCTGAACAGCTCCGGGAGGAGGCAATATACTGCGTCGATCGTCCATTCCAAAATCGACAACATGAAAACGAAAGCGAAAGGACTGTACGAGACATACACAACGAAAACTGCCACCGGAATGCCTGTTGGCGAGGTTGACAAATATTCGACCTATGATCTGGAATCCGCCTACACAGCGCGTGCTAGCGTGGTCAAATTTCAAGATTGGGCACGCGAAAATGGGTGATATTCGAGGATTTGGCCCAACAAAGAGCCTCTCCACTACCGCCGTTGCTAGATCAAGCACAGGAAAGCCTCACAGTCTAACCTTCATTTGGCTTCAAAGCAAAGTCCCGTGATCGACACTTGTAGGTGTGAATGCAGCTTCACTTTATAAGCCACTTTATGCCTTCAAGGCAAAGCCACTTTCGGCGTAGTGTGGAATCGGCCTTACCGAAAATAAAGCGCCAAACTTCTCCTCTTCTGTTAGATGTGTATTCATATCACAGGCCAGGTTATTCATGAGGCTCAATGGCCAAGTGGTAAGGCGTCGGTCTTGTAAACCGAAGATCGAGGGTTCAAACCCCTCTTGGGCCTGTCCCTATTTTTTTCCACTTTTGCAGTATCAAACATAGCCCATATGTGCTGTATCAAGACTGTATCAAGACTCATTCAAGAGTGTGCAACTCCGCATCTCTTCTGTAGAAAATCGCTTACACGGCGAAGATTTTTGTGTAGGTCATCATGAATCATAGAAATCCTGACAAACAGTACGATCAGTGCTAAATGACCTCATCACTAAGGTGATGGTAGGAACATCGCATGCATTTTTCACCTTTGGTATGACCAAGAGTACATAACCCCACAGAGTGTGCAACTCGGCTATGGGTGCTGTCCCGACAGAATTTCAAGTTGACGTCGTTTTTATGGTGCAATGCGCACTGTACACGGATTATCAGACGAATCCAGAACCTGTGGTTGACCGAAGCCGATCTGATCCTGTACAAATTATTGCAAAGAAAAACGTGTGATGCGTTGACACCCGTCCACATGTTGTAAATCACTGGTGCAAGGAGCATTGCGTCATAAATAATGACGTCAAATTGAAATTCTGTCGGGACAGCGGGGTATGTGGGAGTTGCACACTCTGGGGGGTTATGTACTCTTGGTATGACAAGCAGTAATGCGGCTCAGAATTTACTTTAGTGATGCGCAAAATGACCATGTGAACCAGTGTAGGCTGCGGCGAAGGTGAGTGAGTCATTGTGACGTAAACATAACTCTTCGCCGTGGCACGGTTTCCCCAAGACCTGCACAGTATTGTGTGTGTGCTCTGGACTGCTGTACAGTGAACCCTACCGGTCTAAGACGACCGCTCAAGGGACCTTCTAGTGTGGCCCCTGTGTACAGGTGGTCGCCTTATGCAGGGTCATCTGACTGGTAATAACATCCCTTGGTCCTGGCTGTGGTGATCCTCTGAGGCAGGTGGTCGCCACCTTATCAGATTGGTCGCCCGTTGACAGTTTTTGTGTGTGTGTGTGTGTGCGTGTGCGCGCGCGTGCGTGTGTGTGCGTGTGCGTGCGTGTGTGTGCGTGTGTTGCTGTTGTTGTTTGCAGCGAGGCTCTACTTGGTTCCATCTTTGAGAAGTCCGGAAGGATGGAGCTGCATAACCGTAACTTTGAAGCAGCGTGTATCTTTTTCGAACAGGCTCTCCTGCAGGCTGCCAAAGTCCTACCCGAGCATGACAAGCAGGTATGTCTCCTCTCAATAAGTTGTGCACTCGCTCTTGACGGCAAAAATGTGTGGCTGATCGCGAGTGCGTAACGTTTGTATACTCGTATAGGCATTACTGTTTTCTGATGATCGCTTAGTGCGTGAAACTCAGAGTTAAAACCCTTTTCGTCCTATTATTGTTTGTTTTATACTCGTATACACAGGCAGAAGAACGAGCAGCTGCTGCTTCATGTCTACTGTCTACGTAACGAAAGCACATGCCCTCCGTATTGCAAAACTGCGTGGCTTAGCGAGAGTGCGTGACTAATAAGTGGTGTGACTTATTGCGAGTAGGCTGTACCGGTATTATCGTATAGTGACACTGGTAACGTACATACTGGTTGCGTGTTTTTCGATTTTGACAGCATGTTACAAGGCGAGGACGCATAGTGCTCCTGACTACAACCATAACCCGGTTGCGTCCTCGCCTTGTAACATGCTGTCAAAATCGAAAAACATGTAAAACTACCAAGCAAGGCTTCTGTATATACCATACTGGTTGCGTGTGAGTCACAGTTTCAATTTTATGCCTTATGGTTTTAATTGGTCCGGTAGCAGTATGGCCTTTCACACTTCGTGAATGGATATGGCGGGTATACGTGACCCTCCACAGTGGTCAACACGTGTCAGTGGCTAGAAGGTTGGTCCGGTGGCAACCTGACCAACCTGACCCGTTCCTGCCGGCCTGCTGTATTGTCAAGCTGACGCATATTGTCTGTGTGAACACCCTCTGTATATGCGCAGATTGAAACTTTTTTCATGTAACGATCCTCAGAAATCTTCGTCGTACCTTGTGTGCTCGTTTGCCAATGTTTTTTTTTTTTTTTACTATTGGCACAGCCCTACTGGAAAACAGGTGGAGAACAAAAAGAAACGAGGAAAAGGACAAAACATAGGAGATGTAGGGACGACGTGCAGATGTGCTATGGTATCTATGGTATCTGTGTTACCACCCTCTGTTGTCTAACCGTGCAGGTCGTGGGTCTGCTGAACAGCTTGGCGACGTCGTACGATAACTGCGCACGCCTGGACGAGGGCATAGCCGTAGCTCACCAGGGCCTGGCCTTGGCGGCCGACACAGAGACGAGCATTCATCCGCTGGAAGTGTCCGCCCTGCACTTCAACCTAGCAGCGCTTCATCTACATAAAGGTACGGATCACCGCCAGCAAGGTGAGCTTACAAATCAGCCCCTCCTCCTCCTCAATGGCTACAGTACGGCCGGTCGCCGAAGAACTGGGATGGGGGTGTCAGCCTCCTAGCCTAGACCACTCTTATTCTCATGTATTGCAGTCTATGCACAGTTGAGTCACTGTGTATACATTGGTATGCTGTGCTTGGTGAAATTCTGCCCTGTTCGCTTGCCGGCGCTCTGTTCTTCGGCGCCTGACAGTACTGTGGTGCACCGGGTACCTGGGCGGAGAGGCGCGCCTTGAAGCTTCATGGTATAACCGCTTGTGCATCGGTGCATACATCTCGCTGACTCAAGGTGTTTTAATCTGTGACAGTCACCCTGAAATACTCTCGGGGGGGGGGGGGGGGGGGGGGGAGGAGAAGGGGGTCTTCCTCTGAACCTTTTCGGCTTTTAAAGCCAACACCGTTGCATATCATCGTTTCCTGGCGGATGTCTGTGTGCACGGGCATAGTATGTGTATAGACCTCGCATAGCCGCACACGCCCGTTTTCCAGAAAAAAAAATATCCGGACAGGCGAGGGAACCGGATAATCGCACACACATACTGTATGTATGCGTGGCATATGCTGAGATTCCCGGGCCCTCCCGCACCAAAATCGAGCCAAAGCCATTTTTTTTAGTTTTTTTAACCCTTTATTACCGGCCTGCAGACTTTCGATCATATATGATCGAAAGTCTGCAGGCCAGTAATATCTTCGTAACTCCATCATTTCTTGCGCCAATTCAACAATCGAAAGGTCTATTTGGTAGCGGAAACTTCAAGCTATCCAATGCAACAATTGCCGAAGAGGTACGATGTCGGACGCCAGAGATATCGCGCGCCGTATTCTCACCTCGGCAAATTCAAATTTTGATCGATCACTTCGCCATTTTTGGGGGAAATCCCTTTTCGTTTGCTCTTTGAGCGACTAAGCACATGATAATGACGTAGTCGACTGAAGTTTGAATCGTCTCAAACAAATTTGAGCGTTCTACGATGAAGGAGAGTGGAATGGCGTTGATGGGACGAATTTGCTTGCATATCAGGCTTGGAGACGACTTTGCTGTGTTACCGCGCCTGATTCGTGGCGACTGAATAATGGAGCTTGGTACCCTGGCTTTGCTCTCGCCAAGAGCTTTCCAACGAGCCCAAGATTGTGAAAATCAAGTGAAGGAGACCAAAGTTATGACCTGGTAAAGTTGGAAATTGTGCTGAAATTCGTAATTCTGGTGCATGCTGTGCAAGTAATCCGGTAATAAAGGGTTAACAGTTCATACATTCGCAGTGTGAGTAGATCTGTGACGTGGAGTCACACGAACCACCCGAGCTTGTACGTTTCCATGATGTACAGATCAGGGCCATCGTTGGCCGAATATAGAAAAGTTGAACGGGTAAACCGCGTACCTGCTGTCTGTAAAAAAATTGAATAAAAATTACCGGAAAATGCTGTAAAAAAGTTCAGCATGGCCTGCACACATGTAGTCATGTACATACATGGGAGAAAAATGAAAAATAAAATTCGCCCGCCCGCACCAATTTCACATGGGTTCTGCCCGGGAATCTCGATTTTGTTTTGGTCTCGCCTAAGCCAACGATTTTCTTCCGGATGGCGAGTGATCCGGATAAAAGAGGACCGGATAAGCGAGGTCTGAGTGTACGTCTGCTTCTCTCTCTCTCTCTCTGTTTGCACCACTTACCAGGGGACATAGCCGAGAGTCGACGCGAGGTCAGCATTGCCAAGGAGACGGCGAGGAAGCTTCAAGACGACCCTCAGCTGCAGGCGTGCGCAGCCCTGCTCCAGGAAATCACCGCCAAGGAGCGTGAACAGACGAGAGCAGCCGAGGAGGCAAAGAAGAACAATGCTTGGTGGTAACAGAGGCCACACACACACACGCACGCCTCGTCAACTCTCCACTCTACAAATGTGTACTGCTAAATGAAATCCAGCCACGTCACTTAAGCACACGCGGGCGGGCGTTGCGCAGCCATAGACCTGCGAACACTGAGCTGCGGTCTGATGCAAGGCGCAAACTGGAGTGATGCGGCCGGATTTCATTGAGCAGCACCGCAGTAGCCTCTGCCTGCCTGCCTGCCTGTGACGACGCTCTATGTACCGATGATACCGATGATAAAGGCATGCACGTGGGTTTGTCGCTCTGGACACTCGCCACTGTAAACCCAGCAGAATTCAGCTAACTGCCCATGTTGCCCGGAATCGCCATTGAACTGATGGTGTCGACTGCAACGCCGGCGGAATTCTCGCTGAATCCATGGTGTAAACCCGGCCGAATCGGTACGGAATCCATCGTGTAAATCCGGCCGAATCGATGCTGAATTCATGGTGTAACCCTGGCGGAATTTCACTGGACATCACCGCTGCACTTGAGCCGAATCAGCGTCATAGAACCAACAGGAGCATGCACATAATCCAAACTACAGTACACATAATCCAAACTACAGTACACGTAATTGCCATACACATCTAGTGACAATTGCTGAGCAAGACTTCTTCTTATTGTGCTGATCAGGAAAACTGACTTCTTATTGTGCTGATCAGGAAAACTGACTTCTTATTGTGCTGATCAGGAAAACTGACTTCTTATTGTGCTGATCAGGAAAACTGACGGTAACTTGGTCTCCAGTCAGTTTCAGCCGGCAACTGGCAAACACACAATAATATTATGAGTTTGAGTTTGAGTATTGAGAATTGACCGAAAGCAGACATCTGGCCAAGAAAGACCGTGTAGAAGCTAGTAACTCTGAAAGCCAATTCATCTTTATCCTATTTTCCACACCCACCCACACACACACGTACGCACACGTACGCACACACGCACACACATGCACACACACACACACACACACACACATGCATCCATTCAAACACACGCGTGCATACACACACACACACCACACACACACACTTTCCCATTCTTAGCCTAACTGAAGCACACTCTCTGTATTAATGTGTAATGCTCCGATTGATGGGTAATTACACATCCATTTTTCCAAGACTGCATGCAAGAGACAAGACTACGACAAGAGTCTATAAAGAAGGGTTCTGTAAAACGGCTAATTTTAGCGATGGTGATGTTTTAGCGACTTTTAATAGCGAAGGAAGTGTTTTCGCCAAAGTTTTGCCGTGCCAATCGAAAGATCTGCATGTACAGTACAGTACAAGTCCTCCTTCAGTCTGCAACTCGGATCGTTAAAATATTTCATCTTGAATTGGTCCAGATTCAGAAAACGCTAAAATGTTTAGTCGCTAAAATTACCCGTTCTACAGTATGCCACTAGGGGTATGCGAAGAGAGCTTGCACAACACCCTCCGGAGCTCCCTGCTGCCTTCACTACGTAACTTCCCTATAGAGCATGCCCTGCACTACATTCAAACCAGAGAGTAGTAAAATATTACCATTTTATTACTCCCCAATTCAAACCCACAGACACAGGTCTATTTCCATGACTACGGTGACCAACAGTTGGGCTCACTTAATTCCCACCCAACGTGCAAAGTTGATGCCCTGCCGGCCCTGGATCAGTTCCCATTACATCATTGTAGTTGTACATCAGTGTACGTCCAGCCGCATTCCGCGTTACACGTCCAGGACAGTGGAGAGTTGAAATTGCCAGCTTTGCACATGCACTGGGTCGGATTCCAGCGAGCTCAACTGTAGTCGAGAGGGTATGAGTGCGGCTCAAATCGTCCATGTACATGTACATGTATTATCTCACACCCTGACATGCAAAAAACCACTCTACCGGTATAGCATCTTTGTGTTGAATACAATGCATTCAACACAGACACCACCATAGGAAACACGACACACATGCATGCATTAATACAGTATCGAACACAGAATCGATCCACCCCATACCATACACACTGGGTGTTCATGTACAATGTACATTGTATAGAACATGTGCTGCCATACGGAGCTACAGTGACAAGTAGATTGAGTTGATTGGGGGTTTAGAAGAGTGCAGAGAGGCTATGGAGTATGGTTAAACTGCTAATAGTGGTACGACCCTAAACAGTATACTAAAAGCAAGTTGTTGAAAGTCAGATATGCATTGCTAGAAATATCTATATAATCATAATAATGAAAAGAAGCAAACGTGTGCAGCAGCGCACCACACTGGACTGGGTGAGGGCGCCTGAGAGCGAATAGGCAAATGTGTCATGGCATCGCTGTCCCGTCTTGCATTGTAAAAATTAACGTGATTCGTCTAAGCAGCAGGGGCACTGTGAGCATGTAGAGTGGTCTCGCCACACGCCCCCTCTAAAAGAGTGCAGCAGTGACTTGCATTATATCCGCTGAGCATGTGCCGCTCACACGCATGTGCATGCACGTACGCACGCACAAACACACACGCACAAACAAACACGCACGCACACACACGCACCACATGCATACATGTGCATGTATATACATAAATGAGCGCTGAGATCCGCAAAGGCGACGGCCACAAAACAGAAAACAACACCAACACACACGCTCAGCAGGAAATGAATACTCCTCACAGCACAGCATAGACGAGCAAAGGGCATGTACTTTCGAATATGTACACGGCATAGACATGCATACATACACAACACAGGCGGGCATATGCACACAACACAGGTGGGCATATGCACACAACACAGCATTATCAGCAGACAAGAGGAATACAGCATTGTGTGAAAGACAGGCAAGGTTTTAGTAGCTGTCAGTTTGCTGCTGCTGCTATTTTCTGACATTCTTTCTGGTGACGAGGCCAGTTTTCCTTCAGACACGACTTTCCACAGAAATAGGCCTTCTCGCAGCGCGAGCATTTCTTCATACCCACCCCAGTTACGCCACAGCCCCAACACGTGCGCATGCGAGATGACTTGGAAGATGTACGGCCTCCGCCGCCTGCGCCGGCCGCTGTCGCCGTAGCTGCTTGTCGTGACTTCTCCAGAGAAGCTATAGCATCGCGGTGCAAGTCCTGTACAGTGGGGCCGGTGGTGTCCTGTTTGCTGCAGAAGTTGGCGTCGCTCACTGCTAGGAAGAACTGGCCCTGTCGGAAGAAAGCCTTGCCACGACGAAAGGCACACTTGACGACCAGTGGCTGACTCTGACTCTTAATCAGCACCAGGCCGATTGCCATGCTGGCGTCGCGGATCACGTCCCCGTACCGCTCCATACGCAAGTAGCACTCGGCGCGGTTGCCTAGCAACACGGCGTCCGTGTCGTCAGCAGCGGCCGGGCGATCCGTCGCCGATAGCAACGCGGCGGAGTAGTAGCGTGCGGCCTGGTCGTAGTCACTCTCCTGAAAGTGCACTTTACCGAGTTCTTTCAGTTGATCTCGTGTCATGCCCTGCATGCTGGAGGCCGCATCGCCTACAAAGTCGACGATCGCGTCCTGATTCTGCGAGCGCCACAGTCCCGGGTAGGCCTTGGAGCAGGCACGCTGCAGCTTCTCGAGCAGGCCGATACAGGGCGCAAAGGCGCGCGGTGCCCGCTTGAGCATGTCCGGGCCGATCAGGTGACGCGATAGCAGGTGCTTGACCAGGTCAGGCCGGTGCTGCACGAGTGCGGTGAGTATCCGCAGGGAGATCTCCTGTATGGTGGGTGCAGTGCAGTAGACAAGCATGCATACTGGCTCCAGCAGGCTAAGACGACTGGCCAGGCAATCACGTACATTACCGCCTAGCCGCACCAGCAGCAGATAGGAACAGAGAACATCCGGTATGGGATACAACGTATTAGGATACAACCAATTGTCCAACACCTGGGGGCAAACAGGCAAACAACAACAACAACAACAACAACAACAACAACAACAACAACAACAACAACAACAACAACAACAACAACAACAACAACAACGTGAGAATAAAGATTTGAAACAACAACGAAAGCCAAACATTGACGGAATCAACTGTGGAAACAGTAACAATGTTCGTGGTGACAGCAACAGCAACAATAATTATAACTGTGTGTGTACGCGCACGCACGCAAACATGCACACACACGTGCGCGCACACGTGCACACACACGCACACACACACACACACACACGTGCAGCTGAGTACTCACTTCTAAAATATCATTTTTGTTTAGTATCTTGTTGACGGTGCCAATACTGGTATTTAGACTCTGTGCAACAACAACAACAACAACAACAACAACAACAGCAGCAACAACAGCAACAACAACAACAACAGCAGCAGCAACAACAACAACAACAACAACAACAACAATAACAACAACAACAACAACCACACTATTATCTCTTATTGGCCACTGGCTATCGGGAGAATAAAGATTTGAAACAACAGCAACAACAACAGCAGCAGCAGCGCCGGCGGCAGCAGCGGCGGCAGCAGCAGCAGCCACAAAGAACAAAGGAGTAGTAATAGTAAGTATCCAGTTGACCGTGGCTGCTGGAGCAGTTCATTGCATGTGAAGTGCTTCCAACATGCATGCACCAATGCATTTGTTAGCACAGCAACGTTATACGCTCCCTGCTGGCAGGGCGGCGGGCCTCAAACTTGACCTTGCCTTGGTCACCAATAGCAGCTCTGGCCAGAGCAAGTCAACCTCATGAACATGGGAGCGCCGCTTCTGAGTGCACGAATGTAGTGCGTGTAGGAATTACCGATGTGCCGTCATTGTCACAGCGCGCTGATGTGCTATCATTGTCACAGTGTGTTGATGGCAGTACGGCTGAGTGACCATCGTGCATTTCCACATTGGGGTCATTGAGTCCTCAGTTCATACCCTGATGTGGTGGTCGTGCTATTGTGACGGGGTTCCGACTTTGACCGATGTCTTAAAGTGATTGCTGCTATGGGGTGACGTTCTACTTTTCCCTTAGGGGTCGTCGCAAAAGTTTTTCGTCGTCCCTGAAACGAACATGATTCGTTTGGGGGGCAGGGGGTGCGAGCCAAAATCGCAAGTCGACCGACATTGTACATATGACATGTGCATGCACGTGATTTTCGTAGTCCAGCACAGCAAGCTGTGTTCGTTTCAGAGGGAGGGGGTCCAAGTACGAAATGAACGATGTTCGTTTCAGGGACGACAGAAAACGTTTGCGACAACCTCTTACATTAAGAATCTTGGAAACAATGTCCATACAAAAATGACTACTTGAAACAGTTCGAGTGTGATGCAACAAGTTCCCATCTCCAAACTGATGCTACATCGTGATGGTACAAAACATTTATTTCAGTACATGTTTTTTTCAATACTGTGTGTACTTGGGCTGTAATGTAGTGCGTGGCTATGTACAGAGGGTGCTCTGCTGCAAAGGCACTACAGAGAAGCAGAACATCCTTCCCGTATGTCACGTGACTGTCGCCGTGGAGTCGACCAATCGCAGATCAAACTGTGCGGGCTGGAAAGCGCGGTCCTGCCTGCTCAAAGGTGATGGAACTGGATCCACTGCCCGTCGTCACTTGACGACGGGCAGGAGCGGAATCCACAGTGTTCGTTGGCTCACGAACTTGGCGCGTGTTTCGTAAATACAAGGACAACGGGAAGAGCGAGGTATGTAAATGACTGTATGGAGTGCGCGTGCATGCATGCTCTTCGCCTTGGGTGCATACGGGAAACACGTTCAGTGTTGCCACATCATTATAGCCAAATATCAGGAGGATGAAAAAAATAAAAATGCATTATCCGCCCCCCTCCCTTCAGGGTAATCCCAATACAAACACACACGCGCACTCGGAACTGTTAAGAAAACCTTTCACGGCTTTGCGTGAGACTCAGGCTGAGTTTTCTGTATTCCCCAGACAGCTGATGATTCGCTAAGCACCTTAGGAATGAGCTATGGAAACACTCGTGATAAGCAGTAAAAGCCAAAATCTGGATCATTTTTCTTCTTCTTTTTTTCCTGAATATCACAGAACCATCAGATGCTGTACAGCGGGGGCGGTGGCATATTGGATGGAAGTGGGGACTTCAAAACCAAGAACAAGGTCAAACTTGGACACTTTCATGGCTGTTGTCGGCAGGAGAAGGTCAATTGTCGGCAGGTCATGACAGGCCTCAAAAATCAGCAGGCTACTGACATGTCGGCAGGTGTGGCAACCCAGCACGTTGCAGTCACTCATACTCGGCCAGCACCGCTGTTCCTCCAGCCCTTGCCGCTATCGTGGCGCGGGCTGTTCATCCACGGTACTGCCCGCGTACTCGTGCAGGAACCTGTACTTACAACATATCATTGTGTTCGGAAGATAAGCAATGTACTTGCAACATTGCCTTGGACAGACACAGCCTTATTAACCCTTTCAGTGCCAAGGGGGTCAGAAAAATTCAAATTTTTCCGAGTTGAGCTGAACTCAAATTTTTCATAGCTCAGCTGTATATCCACGGATCTTTACAAACGATGGCTCTTTGGAAAGATATCATGGCCAGGCAGACAGCTGTGAAGAGAATATGCAGCGAAAATAGTCTTCCTCGCGAGGGCGCCTGAGCGAAGTCCGTTTTCTGCATTTTCGTAGCATCTGCACTTTCTCACGCGCGCGATCGATCGCAGTGCAGTCAAATTTCAACGCACGAAATTCGGACAAAGTTGGCCTGAAAGCCACTGAAAATATCGATGTTTTGATACCCAATACGCATGGGTTGCCGCGAAAGAAATAGAGAAACCCGCGATGCGCATACGTCATGTTTTCTACACGCGACAATTGTTTGTCCGAGCGCGCGCGCTTCAGGCTTCGCCCTGGCGATATCTATCCTCACGGACACAAAACGTTGTGATGAGTCGATAGCCAAGGTCTTCCCGAAGACGTAGAGTGGTCGTTTGTAAATCTCCTGTGTGTAGAAGTGGAGATACGGATTTATTTGTACTCACATACTCAGTCTGGGCGACTAAAGTCGCCCGTGGCACTGAGAGGGTTAACAGCAGCAGCAGCAGCAGTACCAGTAACCGTCCTGAATCACACAACAAGCCCTGAATACATCGGACTGCGTTGAGTTCTTGCGTCCATTGTTGTTCTCACATTTTGCTGATTGCAATCAAAGCTCTGTGTCAAGTAGCAGCAGCAGCAGCAGCAGCATCGTTGGCAGAAGTTACAGCAGAGTCGACTAACCTGTCTGACGACAAGCACAGCACGCACTGTACTGTTCTGATCTGGTAGTGTCTTGAGCGGCATCTCAAGCCACTGAAGAGCCGCGCTTAATACAATGTCACAGGGTTCCATAAGAACACAGCTACGAGCCTGTCAGCAGAAGGAATAGCAGCAGCAGCAGCAGCAGCAGCAACAACAAAAGCAGCAGCAAACGTTTAAAAAAAAGACCAATTTAGTAAGCCATGCCCTGAAGTCCTTCCCGACACGTACACGAGAGAAAGAGAAAGAGAGAGAGAGAGAGAGAGAGAGAGAGAGAGAGAGAGAGAGTGACTAAGAGAGAGAGAACACCAGGATACCTACCTCCTTGCAGCTCTCCATGGTGTAGGCGATGGCAGCCCCGACATTCTCCGTTATATTCAAGCAGAGAAAAGCGGCACGCTGATGTGCTTCAGACACTGACATACTGTTAGCTGCAACCTAGACAGAGGCAGGAAAGTGACAGCAACCAGCACCGCCAACAACAACAGCAGTAGCAGCAGCAGCACCGCCACCACCACCAACAACAGCAGCACCAGCAATAGCAACAGCAGCAATAGCAACATCGATAGCAACAGTAGCAACATTACTGACATAGACTAGCATGGGATGGTATGAAAAACTCCGCAATTTCGTCAAAATGTATTCTCCCCCGAGTCGAAGGTTCGATGGACTTCTCGTGTTCTTTGGATGGCAGTCGTGAGTCAGTCAAGTGTCAAGTCAAGTCGGCGGAATAGCGCGAGCTCCAGTGTGGGAGCAAAACCATTCCTAAAATGTATTCTGTTACCGTAAAGTACCGCCAGAGCGCCCCACCATCTCATCCTTTCGTGGTCGTATTGTGGAGGTGGTCTGCTGTCTGTAGGTGATACGACATGAACCTTGTACACATATAGCACGTTTTGCCGTCAATCCGTACCTTCGAGCGGACACAAGCTCCACACGAAACCCTGCCAAGTGTGACCTTAGTACACTAAGATTCTTACATCGTACAAACTTCGTTGCACTCTGCCATACGATTTTCCTTTCTCTGGCTGTAAAATCAAGGTGGGGCGCTCTCGCGAGGCGGGGCGCTCTGGCGGTACTTTACGGTAATAATATTACAGATACAATGCACAGTGGAGATTGCATAACTACTGTACAACTGCCAGTTGCAGCAAAGTGCAGAGAAAGCCAGGTCTCACAAAGTGCAAAGAAAGCCAGGTCTCACAAAGTGCAGAGAAAGCCAGGTCTCACAAAGTGCAGAGAAAGCCAGGTCTCACAAAGTGCAGAGAAAGCCAGGTCTCACAAAGTGCAGAGAAAGCCAGGTCTCACAAAGTGCAGAGAAAGCCAGGTCTCACAAAGTGCAGAGAAAGCCAGGTCTCACAAAGTGCAGAGAAAGCCAGGTCTCACAAAGTGCAGAGAAAGCCAGGTCTCACAAAGTGCAGAGAAAGCCAGGTCTCACAAAGTGCAGAGAAAGCCAGGTCTCACAAAGTGCAGAGAAAGCCAGGTCTCACAAAGTGCAGAGAAAGCCAGGTCTCACAAAGTGCAGAGAAAGCCAGGTCTCACAAAGTGCAGAGAAAGCCAGGTCTCACAAAGTGCAGAGAAAGCCAGGTCTCACAAAGTGCAGAGAAAGCCAGGTCTCACAAAGTGCAGAGAAAGCCAGGTCTCACAAAGTGCAGAGAAAGCCAGGTCTCACAAAGTGCAGAGAAAGCCAGGTCTCACAAAGTGCAGAGAAAGCCAGGTCTCACAAAGTGCAGAGAAAGCCAGGTCTCACAAAGTGCAGAGAAAGCCAGGTCTCACAAAGTGCAGAGAAAGCCAGGTCTCACAAAGTGCAGAGAAAGCCAGGTCTCACAAAGTGCAGAGAAAGCCAGGTCTCACAAAGTGCAGAGAAAGCCAGGTCTCACAAAGTGCAAAGAAAGCCAGGTCTCACAAAGTGCAGAGAAAGCCAGGTCTCACAAAGTGCAAAGAAAGCCAGGTCTCACAAAGTGCAAAGAAAGCCAGGTCTCACAAAGTGCAGAGAAAGCCAGGTCTCACAAAGTGCAAAGAAAGCCAGGTCTCACAAAGTGCAAAGAAAGCCAGGTCTCACAAAGTGCAGAGAAAGCCAGGTCTCACAAAGTGCAGAGAAAGCCAGGTCTCACAAAGTGCAGAGAAAGCCAGGTCTCACAAAGTGCAGAGAAAGCCAGGTCTCACAAAGTGCAGAGAAAGCCAGGTCTCACAAAGTGCAGAGAAAGCCAGGTCTCACAAAGTGCAGAGAAAGCCAGGTCTCACAAAGTGCAGAGAAAGCCAGGTCTCACAAAGTGCAGAGAAAGCCAGGTCTCACAAAGTGCAGAGAAAGCCAGGTCTCACAAAGTGCAGAGAAAGCCAGGTCTCACAAAGTGCAGAGAAAGCCAGGTCTCACAAAGTGCAGAGAAAGCCAGGTCTCACAAAGTGCAAAGAAAGCCAGGTCTCACAAAGTGCAAAGAAAGCCAGGTCTCACAAAGTGCAGAGAAAGCCAGGTCTCACAAAGTGCAGAGAAAGCCAGGTCTCACAAAGTGCAGAGAAAGCCAGGTCTCACAAAGTGCAGAGAAAGCCAGGTCTCACAAAGTGCAAAGAAAGCCAGGTCTCACAAAGTGCAGAGAAAGCCAGGTCTCACAAAGTGCAGAGAAAGCCAGGTCTCACAAAGTGCAGAGAAAGCCAGGTCTCACAAAGTGCAGAGAAAGCCAGGTCTCACAAAGTGCAGAGAAAGCCAGGTCTCACAAAGTGCAAAGAAAGCCAGGTCTCACAAAGTGCAGAGAAAGCCAGGTCTCACAAAGTGCAGAGAAAGCCAGGTCTCACAAAGTGCAGAGAAAGCCAGGTCTCACAAAGTGCAGAGAAAGCCAGGTCTCACAAAGTGCAGAGAAAGCCAGGTCTCACAAAGTGCAGAGAAAGCCAGGTCTCACAAAGTGCAGAGAAAGCCAGGTCTCACAAAGTGCAGAGAAAGCCAGGTCTCACAAAGTGCAGAGAAAGCCAGGTCTCACAAAGTGCAGAGAAAGCCAGGTCTCACAAAGTGCAGAGAAAGCCAGGTCTCACAAAGTGCAGAGAAAGCCAGGTCTCACAAAGTGCAGAGAAAGCCAGGTCTCACAAAGTGCAGAGAAAGCCAGGTCTCACAAAGTGCAGAGAAAGCCAGGTCTCACAAAGTGCAGAGAAAGCCAGGTCTCACAAAGTGCAGAGAAAGCCAGGTCTCACAAAGTGCAGAGAAAGCCAGGTCTCACAAAGTGCAAAGAAAGCCAGGTCTCACAAAGTGCAGAGAAAGCCAGGTCTCACAAAGTGCAGAGAAAGCCAGGTCTCACAAAGTGCAGAGAAAGCCAGGTCTCACAAAGTGCAGAGAAAGCCAGGTCTCACAAAGTGCAGAGAAAGCCAGGTCTCACAAAGTGCAGAGAAAGCCAGGTCTCACAAAGTGCAGAGAAAGCCAGGTCTCACAAAGTGCAGAGAAAGCCAGGTCTCACAAAGTGCAGAGAAAGCCAGGTCTCACAAAGTGCAGAGAAAGCCAGGTCTCACAAAGTGCAGAGAAAGCCAGGTCTCACAAAGTGCAGAGAAAGCCAGGTCTCACAAAGTGCAAAGAAAGCCAGGTCTCACAAAGTGCAGAGAAAGCCAGGTCTCACAAAGTGCAGAGAAAGCCAGGTCTCACAAAGTGCAGAGAAAGCCAGGTCTCACAAAGTGCAGAGAAAGCCAGGTCTCACAAAGTGCAAAGAAAGCCAGGTCTCACAAAGTGCAGAGAAAGCCAGGTCTCACAAAGTGCAGAGAAAGCCAGGTCTCACAAAGTGCAGAGAAAGCCAGGTCTCACAAAGTGCAGAGAAAGCCAGGTCTCACAAAGTGCAGAGAAAGCCAGGTCTCACAAAGTGCAGAGAAAGCCAGGTCTCACAAAGTGCAGAGAAAGCCAGGTCTCACAAAGTGCAGAGAAAGCCAGGTCTCACAAAGTGCAGAGAAAGCCAGGTCTCACAAAGTGCAGAGAAAGCCAGGTCTCACAAAGTGCAAAGAAAGCCAGGTCTCACAAAGTGCAGAGAAAGCCAGGTCTCACAAAGTGCAGAGAAAGCCAGGTCTCACAAAGTGCAGAGAAAGCCAGGTCTCACAAAGTGCAGAGAAAGCCAGGTCTCACAAAGTGCAGAGAAAGCCAGGTCTCACAAAGTGCAGAGAAAGCCAGGTCTCACAAAGTGCAGAGAAAGCCAGGTCTCACAAAGTGCAGAGAAAGCCAGGTCTCACAAAGTGCAGAGAAAGCCAGGTCTCACAAAGTGCAGAGAAAGCCAGGTCTCACAAAGTGCAGAGAAAGCCAGGTCTCACAAAGTGCAAAGAAAGCCAGGTCTCACAAAGTGCAGAGAAAGCCAGGTCTCACAAAGTGCAGAGAAAGCCAGGTCTCACAAAGTGCAGAGAAAGCCAGGTCTCACAAAGTGCAGAGAAAGCCAGGTCTCACAAAGTGCAAAGAAAGCCAGGTCTCACAAAGTGCAGAGAAAGCCAGGTCTCACAAAGTGCAGAGAAAGCCAGGTCTCACAAAGTGCAGAGAAAGCCAGGTCTCACAAAGTGCAGAGAAAGCCAGGTCTCACAAAGTGCAGAGAAAGCCAGGTCTCACAAAGTGCAAAGAAAGCCAGGTCTCACAAAGTGCAAAGAAAGCCAGGTCTCACAAAGTGCAGAGAAAGCCAGGTCTCACAAAGTGCAGAGAAAGCCAGGTCTCACAAAGTGCAGAGAAAGCCAGGTCTCACAAAGTGCAGAGAAAGCCAGGTCTCACAAAGTGCAGAGAAAGCCAGGTCTCACAAAGTGCAGAGAAAGCCAGGTCTCACAAAGTGCAGAGAAAGCCAGGTCTCACAAAGTGCAGAGAAAGCCAGGTCTCACAAAGTGCAGAGAAAGCCAGGTCTCACAAAGTGCAGAGAAAGCCAGGTCTCACAAAGTGCAGAGAAAGCCAGGTCTCACAAAGTGCAGAGAAAGCCAGGTCTCACAAAGTGCAGAGAAAGCCAGGTCTCACAAAGTGCAGAGAAAGCCAGGTCTCACAAAGTGCAGAGAAAGCCAGGTCTCACAAAGTGCAGAGAAAGCCAGGTCTCACAAAGTGCAGAGAAAGCCAGGTCTCACAAAGTGCAGAGAAAGCCAGGTCTCACAAAGTGCAGAGAAAGCCAGGTCTCACAAAGTGCAGAGAAAGCCAGGTCTCACAAAGTGCAGAGAAAGCCAGGTCTCACAAAGTGCAGAGAAAGCCAGGTCTCACAAAGTGCAGAGAAAGCCAGGTCTCACAAAGTGCAGAGAAAGCCAGGTCTCACAAAGTGCAGAGAAAGCCAGGTCTCACAAAGTGCAGAGAAAGCCAGGTCTCACAAAGTGCAGAGAAAGCCAGGTCTCACAAAGTGCAGAGAAAGCCAGGTCTCACAAAGTGCAGAGAAAGCCAGGTCTCACAAAGTGCAGAGAAAGCCAGGTCTCACAAAGTGCAGAGAAAGCCAGGTCTCACAAAGTGCAGAGAAAGCCAGGTCTCACAAAGTGCAGAGAAAGCCAGGTCTCACAAAGTGCAGAGAAAGCCAGGTCTCACAAAGTGCAGAGAAAGCCAGGTCTCACAAAGTGCAGAGAAAGCCAGGTCTCACAAAGTGCAGAGAAAGCCAGGTCTCACAAAGTGCAGAGAAAGCCAGGTCTCACAAAGTGCAGAGAAAGCCAGGTCTCACAAAGTGCAGAGAAAGCCAGGTCTCACAAAGTGCAGAGAAAGCCAGGTCTCACAAAGTGCAGAGAAAGCCAGGTCTCACAAAGTGCAGAGAAAGCCAGGTCTCACAAAGTGCAGAGAAAGCCAGGTCTCACAAAGTGCAGAGAAAGCCAGGTCTCACAAAGTGCAGAGAAAGCCAGGTCTCACAAAGTGCAGAGAAAGCCAGGTCTCACAAAGTGCAGAGAAAGCCAGGTCTCACAAAGTGCAGAGAAAGCCAGGTCTCACAAAGTGCAGAGAAAGCCAGGTCTCACAAAGTGCAGAGAAAGCCAGGTCTCACAAAGTGCAGAGAAAGCCAGGTCTCACAAAGTGCAGAGAAAGCCAGGTCTCACAAAGTGCAGAGAAAGCCAGGTCTCACAAAGTGCAGAGAAAGCCAGGTCTCACAAAGTGCAGAGAAAGCCAGGTCTCACAAAGTGCAGAGAAAGCCAGGTCTCACAAAGTGCAGAGAAAGCCAGGTCTCACAAAGTGCAGAGAAAGCCAGGTCTCACAAAGTGCAGAGAAAGCCAGGTCTCACAAAGTGCAGAGAAAGCCAGGTCTCACAAAGTGCAGAGAAAGCCAGGTCTCACAAAGTGCAGAGAAAGCCAGGTCTCACAAAGTGCAGAGAAAGCCAGGTCTCACAAAGTGCAGAGAAAGCCAGGTCTCACAAAGTGCAGAGAAAGCCAGGTCTCACAAAGTGCAGAGAAAGCCAGGTCTCACAAAGTGCAGAGAAAGCCAGGTCTCACAAAGTGCAGAGAAAGCCAGGTCTCACAAAGTGCAGAGAAAGCCAGGTCTCACAAAGTGCAGAGAAAGCCAGGTCTCACAAAGTGCAGAGAAAGCCAGGTCTCACAAAGTGCAGAGAAAGCCAGGTCTCACAAAGTGCAGAGAAAGCCAGGTCTCACAAAGTGCAGAGAAAGCCAGGTCTCACAAAGTGCAGAGAAAGCCAGGTCTCACAAAGTGCAGAGAAAGCCAGGTCTCACAAAGTGCAGAGAAAGCCAGGTCTCACAAAGTGCAGAGAAAGCCAGGTCTCACAAAGTGCAGAGAAAGCCAGGTCTCACAAAGTGCAGAGAAAGCCAGGTCTCACAAAGTGCAGAGAAAGCCAGGTCTCACAAAGTGCAGAGAAAGCCAGGTCTCACAAAGTGCAGAGAAAGCCAGGTCTCACAAAGTGCAGAGAAAGCCAGGTCTCACAAAGTGCAGAGAAAGCCAGGTCTCACAAAGTGCAGAGAAAGCCAGGTCTCACAAAGTGCAGAGAAAGCCAGGTCTCACAAAGTGCAGAGAAAGCCAGGTCTCACAAAGTGCAGAGAAAGCCAGGTCTCACAAAGTGCAGAGAAAGCCAGGTCTCACAAAGTGCAGAGAAAGCCAGGTCTCACAAAGTGCAGAGAAAGCCAGGTCTCACAAAGTGCAGAGAAAGCCAGGTCTCACAAAGTGCAGAGAAAGCCAGGTCTCACAAAGTGCAGAGAAAGCCAGGTCTCACAAAGTGCAGAGAAAGCCAGGTCTCACAAAGTGCAGAGAAAGCCAGGTCTCACAAAGTGCAGAGAAAGCCAGGTCTCACAAAGTGCAGAGAAAGCCAGGTCTCACAAAGTGCAGAGAAAGCCAGGTCTCACAAAGTGCAGAGAAAGCCAGGTCTCACAAAGTGCAGAGAAAGCCAGGTCTCACAAAGTGCAGAGAAAGCCAGGTCTCACAAAGTGCAGAGAAAGCCAGGTCTCACCTCAGGGAAAGAAGACCCCTCCATTCCTAGCGA